TGCTGCTTGGCCTGCTGTGTTCATCCAGCCCTGCACCTTGTTGTCTCAGTGTTTGCACCCTCTCCCATTCCATGTGTTTCATCTCAGCCTTTCAACACATCTTTCTATTCACTTTTTATTAATGTAATCATCCAGTTTCCTTTAGAAAACATCTAACCTATTTTTCTAAACACTTCTTAGTTCTGTAATAATTTCATAAGAAGTTAATGAAATGAATTGACTTTTGATGTTTCAAGCAGTAATAAAATTTATAAACTTTTTTGTTGCAGCACACTTCTCTGATCCAGCAGAAACTAGTGCTGATTTTAACTGAAAGGAGTTTAGGGGGATTGGTTCAAGAACTCATTTGGGGGCCAATGGGGCAAACAGCAACCTTGTGAATCACCTCCCCTGAGTCCTAGGCCATTCTAACTCTTAAACATAAACTTAGACTAATTCCTGCTCACGATGAGAATGATGAGACTGGGGCGAGCAGATTTGGGTGAGCTCATGTAAGCAATGCTGCTGAAAGCATTCTCTGACAAGGTGAAGGACAGTGGTGATCAGTTGATTGGAAGAAAGCATCTGACCTCTTTGAGGTGGCCCAATGAAAGAATTACAAATGTAAAATTATTGTGAATTTATCAGTTACTTTTAACTCAATAGTTTTATGACCATTTGATCAGGCAGACAAACTCCACTTTGACAGTGGGAATGAAGCATTGCAATTCATGATGTGGAGAACGAACCCCAATAATCTGGAGTGGTCCGGTTAATTAAATCACTGAACGTCATTTACTTCAACGTCATTGGTGTGTTTTCTGAAACTAAGCAGATTCTGTATCTGCCTGATGGGCAGGAGCAAGAGTTCATTCGCCATGACCAATGATATGAGGGCATGATAAGTAGGGAGGAGAACTTTCTAATCTAATCCAGGTTAGGGAAGGGAAAGCCAGAGTGTGGGAGCCCTTTAGTCCTCCATACGAGATGTGGAAGGGCACTCCTACTCCTCAAGTACACATGGAATCCTGAAATTCAATGTTTCAAATTTGTTTTTCTTGACCTTTTTCTACTCCATGACCTCCTTTCCAATAGGCCTTGTCTGATCCTGAATATTTTCCTGCTCTCCCATTAAGACTTCAAACTTAAATTGCAGATCAGTTCCAATAAAAGAAATTGACATGGTTTGCATATTTATAGAATGATCACACTTCCATTTGCCTGCTCAAGAGACCTTCTGAACCTTCTAGAATATTGGAGCAGGAAAGTCTTGATGCAATTATTTAAGAAAGGCTATAAGGAAAAGCCAGGGAACTATAGATCGGTGAGCCTTGCGTCAGTAGTAGATATGTTGTTAGAGGGGAGTCTGTGGGACAGGATTTGCATGCATTTGAAAAGGCAAAGTGTGATTAAGGATAGTCAACATGGCTTTGCGCATGGGAAATCATGTCTTTCTAACATGATTGATTTTGTTGAAGAGGTGACAAAAGAAGATTGATGAAGGCAGAGTGGTAGAAGTTGTCTATATAGAACATAGAACATAACAGCGCAGTACAGGCCCTTCGGCCCTCGATGTTGCGCCGACCTGTGAAACCAATCTGAAGCCCATCTAACCTACACTATTCCATTATCATCCATATGTTTATCCAATGACCATTTAAATGCCCTTAAAGTTGGCGAGTCTACTACTACTCTCTGAGTAAAGAACCTACCTCTGACATCTGTCCTATATCTATCACCCCTCAATTTAAAGCTATGTCCCCTCATGCTAGCCATCTGGACTTCAGCAAAGCATGTGACAAGGTTCCGCATGGCAGACTGGTTAGTAAGATTAGCTCACTTGAGATCCAGGAGAGCTAGCCAACTTGAAGGTAGGAGACAGAGGGACTTTTCAGACTGGAGACCTGTGACCAGTGGCGTGCCACAAGGATCAGTGCTGAATCCACTGCTTCTCGTCATTTATATAAATGAGGTGAATGTGAATAGAAGAGGAGCAGTTAGTAAATTTGCAGATGGCACCAAAATAGGTGGTGTAGTGGATAGTGAAGAAGACTATCTTTTGATCAGATGGGCCAGTGGGCCAAGAAGTAGCAGTTTAATTTAGATAAATGTGAGGTGTTGTATTTTGGAAAAGCAAAGCAGGGCAGGACTTACACAGTTAATGGTAGGACTCTATGGAGTGCTGCCAAACAAAGGGATCTTGGGTGCAGGTGCATAGTTCCTTGAAAGTGGAGTCACAGACAGGCTAGTGAAGAAGGTGTTTGACATACATGCCTACATCGGTTAGAACTAGAGGGGATAGGTTTAAGGTGAGAGGGTAAAGATTTAAAAGGGAGTTGAAGGGTAACTTTTTCACACACAAGGAGGTGTGTGTATGGAATGAGCTGCCAGAGGAAGTTGCGGAGGTAGATACAATTACAACATTTCAAAGGCATCTAGATGGGTATATGAATAGGAAGGGTTTAGAGGGACAGCGGCCAAATGCTGACAAATGGGACGAGGTCAGATTGGGATGTCTAGTAGGTGCAGACACGTTGGACCGAAAGGTCTATTTCTGTGCTGTATGACCCAATAATTTTATATAATTAGTGGGCAGGAAGTGCATCTGGCTATGAAACCACCTGACAAATCCAACTGGTGATTGATATGAATGGAACGAAATATTGTTTGATCAAAAAATGTAATTTTCATACATTGACAAGTTAGATTTTCAATTTATATTAATATAGAGCCTGTAGACAATCTGTGAAAAAAAAAGTTAGATTGTCGCATTCATTTTTGTGCCTGTGCTTAAGTATTGCTCTTTTTTTTTGTTCATTGTTCTCAGTATCTTGTTTTTTTATTGTATGCAGGCTTGCAATTGTTTGTGGGCATCTTTCTGAATATGGAAGTGTACAGTCCAAAATCAAAAATGGCTCTCTTTTCAAAGTAAGTTTGGCATTGTGCCATTTGACCAAATTTTACAGTACTTTGTAAGAAAGCTTGCTCTTTGGTAACTTCGTTTTCTTTATTGGGCTGTACCCAAATGATGCAAATACTTAATATTGAGCAACTTCCAATAATTAATTCAATTTTCTATTTCTTAGGCCTTTTAAGAACTTTTTTTTTTACAGTGGCTGTGTTTAGCAGGCTTTTATCCCTGCTTTACTTCTATTTGGGGATTGACTTAGACCAATTCATGAAAGACAACTTCGCTATATTTTGGAATTTATTGGTTAACTGTTTCTTAGCAAGAGGCTGACTGATACAGGATAGAGTCATTTAAATGGTTTGGCCAGTTTCTGATTTCTGTGGTCTAAAGCTTTACTGACATATGCCAGAACTTTATTTGCCAAATCTGTTATTTTATGTCTGTTAATTTTGCTTCTTAACAAATATAGTGTGTGAGAAATGCTACTCAACTTACACCATAGCAATGAGGTGACTGGTATAAAATTGTCAATCCATAAAATCTTATTGGTAGGGGTTTTCATGTAGTTTCCAGCAAGATAATATAATCCAAAATTTTACACCTGATATAATTTGGCATATTTTAAGAAAATTGTTGAATACTCATTGTCAGAATGAAAGATTAGGATTTTTTTTTAAAAAAGACAATATAATTTCCAACTTTTGCTTATAAATCCCACTTGACAACAGTAGCCCTTCAAAAAATGCTTCTATGGCTTTATGACGTGTAATGAAAAAGGATCGCCATTGATAGTCGGTATGAAACATGTACATAGTTCAAAGTCGCTTTCCAATTAAGTGAGTTTTTCAAATAGATACATTTAACTAGTTTGTGTAAATAATTCTTGTTGGCCTCAGTGTATTGAATCAAAAGGAGCAAAGGAAATTCAGATGTAGATTGGTCCATGATCTAATTGAATGGTTGACCAATCACAGCAGCTGAATTGTCCACTCCAGTTTTGTGGAAGGAGGATTATTTGAAGTGACTGTAGGATAAAAATACGAAAAGTTAAGAACTCAATGCAAATAGGAGGCTTTAAAGAAGTTCACAAGTTCTGAAAGGCATTGTTACTGATGGGACAGAAAGGGAGTATGGGAAATGGATAAGGAAGAATTTTTAAATAAAAATTTTGAATAGGAAAGTAATCATATTTTTTAACTTGTCAAATGTGATTTTAGATTCAAACAATATTTACTCTTGATATTATGTACTAACTAGTTATTTAACTAGTATTTATTGTTCTCTTATATATAGGACCACATAGACAAAGCAATTGAGTTGAGACCACAGGATCCTAAGCTGTATCATCTACTAGGAAGATGGTGCTATGCAGTAAGTTGGAAGATTCAGTAAAAGTATCTTTGGGCAGGATATAAATGGAGTGGTGCTTTCCCTCAAATTTAGCTCGGCATTTTCGAAGCATATGGCACCCCATTATCCGTGGCTTCTCATTCATGAAAGAGACTGCCTGTTCCAAAAATATTCACGAGACATTTCAGATTGAGAACAATGACTATTAATATCACAGCTTCCAATACAATCCTGAACTGAGTTTATGGTTCCACTTTATATATGTCACAGAAATAAGAATATTAATTAATGTTTGAGCTTCAGGTTTTTACTTGTTCGTTTGTCCTATTTAACTTTTTGGGGTCTGGAAAATTGGAAATATCTAGATGCTGTGGCATCATTGATAATCAAATTCTAAAGTAAGCATTGATCTATTGGTATTAGTAACCAGCAATATGTGCAAGTTAATAGAGACATTGATTTATTCTCTGGACTGCACCGTCTCCTCGGTGATTAATGAGCTGGGAGACAGAATGAATAAGAATTTTAATTGCATCACATTCTGCAGTTTGCTGTTTCTGTTTTCATAGATTCTGTCTGACCTCTTTTCACCATATTTTTGATTTCTGCAGTTTTTTTACACAGTGCATCATTGGGAATGCTGATTCATAACCCTGTATCAAGGACATTTGATACCCAATATCAGAAAGCCAAAATGTCTGGTAACCACCAAGGTGCTGTAGTTTACTTGATGTATAGATTACCAACTCTGAACAATCGCAAGCCCTCATCCAACTGACAGCAACAGTTGTAGAATGAAAACAAAGCGATTGTGCAGCTGAGCTTTGTTCAGTGAGTTGCTGCCAAGGAGTTAAGGGTGAGAAATTTCTACTCTTTTCGGGCTGGGGTGGGTAGTGTGGCTGGCCTTGTCCCAGCCTGGCCCAGGCTTCTGGCACTGATCGCACTGGATGTTACCTGCCCATTGATGAAGACCTTTGTAGTGAATGAGGAGAATGGAACCCAATTCTTGATAGGTTCAATAGGAAGGGAAGGAGGAATGTTTTATGAGTGAGAGTCAGGAGAAAGGATTGGGATAGAGTCGTTGAGTCATACAGCATGGAAACAGACCCGTCGGCCCAACTAGTCTATGGTGACCATTTTCCCAAGCTAAACTAGTCCCACTTGCCTCATTTGGCCCATATCCCTCCAAACCTTTCCTATTCATGTACTTATCCAAGTGTCTTTTTTAAATGCTGTAACTGTACCTGCATCCATCACATCTTCTGGCAGTTCATTCCACACACAAACCACTATGTTTAAAAAAAAAAAGTTGCCCCACATGGCCATTTGAAAACTTTCTCCTCTGACCTTAAAATATGCCACCTAGTTTTGAACTACCCCACCCTAGGGAAATGACCCTTGCTATTCACCTTATCTATGCCCTTCATGATTTTATAAACTTCCATAAAGTCACCCCTCAGCCTCCTATGCTCCAGTGGGAAAAAAAGTCCCAGCCAACCACCCTTATAACTCAAACCCTCTATTCCTGGTGACATCCTGGTAAATCTTTTCTGAACCATTTCCAATTTAATAATATCCTTCCTAAAGCAGGGCAACCAGAACTGCACACAGTCCTCCAGAAAAGGTCTCACCAACATCCTGTACAACCTCGACATGATACCCCAACTTGTATACTCAAAGGTCTGAGCTTAAAGGCAAGCATTCTAAACACCTTCTTAAACACCCTGTGTACCTGTGTTGCAAATTTCAAAGAACTGTGTACCTGAACCCCTAGGTCTCTTTGTTCTATGACACTACATAGGGTCCTACTACTAACTATACAAGTCTTGCCATTTTTTTGTTTCACCAAAATGCAATACCACACATTTATCTAAATTAAACTCCATCTGCCACTCCTCAGCCCACTGACCCAACTGATCAAGATCTCTTTGTAATCTTGGGTAACCATCTTCACTGTCCACTATACTGTCAGTTTTGATGTCATCCGCAAACTTACTAACCATGCTGTTGGAGAGTTTTTCCCGACATGGGCGAAAGACTCAGGAGGCAGGCAGGATTCATGCAATGGAAGATGTTTATTCAAGCAGAAACTGGTTTATGCAGGGAGAGGACCAAAGGATCTTCCCCGAATCATCTGGCTTCTGAAGACAGATCAATGATGCACCCTCTGCTTTTACAAAGAAATACAGCATTTTTATACATTTTGGGTTACAGTAATCAAATACAACATAGTCATCGTCCTTCCCCTTAATTCAAACACCCAATCCTGTGGGATACATAATCAGTGATGGACACTTCCATGGACAGCCCCAGGTTCCCATGATTTTATGGTATTAGGTAGATATTGTAATCTCTAGGCCATGGGATCTTCCTGTGCATCCTATTCATTTGCATTCCAAAAGTTTAATGGCTATACTCCTTCGGGTCTTTCTCAGGCTTAATTATGTATAAGAACAGCTCAAATTCTTTTACCCATTGTGTTTTGGTGCTGTCTTTTATCACATTCAGTTACTCCTTTTATTTTCCTACCATCCCAATTATAGAATGTAAAAATAAAAAGTCAGTTAGTTTTAACTAATTGCTGTAAGGTTAACTTCTGTTATAAAGTTAATTATGAGTGTAACGTTATACAACTTCTTCCACTGTCAGCATTTTGTAATTTATGGGTTGTGATCAATCTATCCTGTTCAGGGCGTAAGAGAAGGTGTCCTCTAAGGCTAGTTAATCTTTACATCTAAGCTTAAAATTTTTTTAAGGCTTGTATTATATCCTGGTTATGTATTGAAACCAACTTCTATGACGAGAGCATCTTTAGCCTGAAACTACTTAATATTGCTGGTAGCTTCAAAGAGGCAACTATTTACTACAAAATAATCTCATGGGTGTTCCGCCTCCTTGGTTTTCAATTCTTGTAAAGCAGATCAAGCCATCAGGTCTCCCTATCCCTGATGTATTAGTCAATGTGATGAATGGGGGTGGTCGTGGGGTAGTGTAGTTGAGTTGGTACCATCCTGTAAAGGTGTTCAGGTTATACCCTGCTAATTTCCATTGTGCCCTAACTTGGTCAGTATTTACTAAGTACTTTCCAGTATTGGTAGGATGCCCATCTCTATCTCTATATTTCTTCGTACCCATTTGGCTAATTCTGAAGCATTGAAGAGGATGGATCGCATTGGTATCCCTCCCTTAGAGTGTATGGGGACATGGGTGCAGACCCAGCAATTGGAAACATTATGTTCTTTAGCATACGCATGTGATGAGTATAAAAATGTATTAGCATTCAAAATCCTCTTCACCACTGGCCTATCAGCCTCCGATGGGATCAAAAGTAAGAGGAACCCATAGAGGATTAGCATTTTCATAATCACGTTAATTTCAGCAACGTTCTTAATTACAGTCTTTATGGCGCAATTGCATCACATGTGCAAGCTAGACATCACCCCATTAAATTGTATACTCTTAGCTGTGTAGGATGTCTCCATTCACCAATTTTATTTTCATTAATAAGTACACTTCTGGTACCTCTTAATATTACCTCATGAGATCCATCCCACCGGGGGGACAAGGTTCCCTTGCTTAGGATTATTTTTACCAGGACCTTTGATCCTGGAGGTGGCATTTCTGTTTGTTCTGTCTGTCCCTCGGATTCCCAGTCCTTGACAAGCTGCTGGTCTCGTGTCAGTCCATGAAGTATGTGTAGATGCTTACTGAGGGATTTCATGTAATCCGAGATTTGTCCTTTGCTGTTAGTCAGTTCTGCTCCCCCTGTGATTAAGTCCTGGGGGAGTATCATTGCTTGTCCTGTCATGTGTTCAAAGGGTACATTGCCCTCTCGGCCATCAGAGTGGCTGGTACGGAAAGGGTCCATTTAACCCCTTCTCCTGTTATTGCCTTGGTCAGAACATTTTTCAGTGTTCTATTCATCCTTACTACCATCCCTGAATGCTGTAAATGGCAGGGGAAATGATAACTTTGTGTTATTCCCAGTAGTTTACATGCTTCCTTCAGGCACTTGACAATGAAGTGGGTCCCTTGGTCTGAATCTGTTTGTAGGGGGACCCTCCTCCACCCCCACCTAGGTATTATTTCTGCTGCCAATATTTTTGCAACTGAGGTTGCAGCACAGTCTTTCATGGAAAAAGCTTCTACCCATCTGGTAAACTGGTCAACCATGACCAGACAGAATTTTTAATTCTAACTTTGAGGGAGTGGTCCAATGAAATCTATTAGAATGTGTTCCCATGGCCCCGTTGGACGGGGCTGATGGCTCATTTTAATTTTAGTTCCGTGTCCTGGTTCTGTCTGCACACATGCAGTACATCTTTGACAAAGTTTGGCTATGTCTCTTCCCATTCCTTTCCACCACACTTCTCCCTATGTATGCTAATCTATGGTAAATATTGTATAACATCTGCTGGTAGAATGTGGGGACTACCACTTTGCCTTACTTTCTCCAAATATCGTCTGCTCCTGACACTGCCCTGCCTTTAATCCATCCTGCTTTTTCTTCTGAACGAGCTGCTGCTTATAAATTTAAAATGTTCCATTCGTCATCTTCGGTCTCTTGCTCTTTCGCAGCTACTGTCTTTATCACTTCCTGTTCTAACATTGCTTTTGCTGCACTATCTGCATAACTATTCCCTCTCTGCTCTGGTGTACGAATTTTCCTGTGTGCTTTTATTTTAATTACTGCTACTTCTTTTGGTTCAGTAGCTGCAGCCACTAGGCCCTTGACTAGGTTCTCATGCTGGATTACTCTACCATTCAAAATAACATAACTTCGCCTTGCCCATGCCATCATGTAGTCATGGACTACACCAAAGGCATACCTACTGTCTGCATAGATGTTAACCCTTTGTCCTCTTCCTTACTTCAGGGCTGCAGCAACTGCTTTTAGTTCAGCTACCTGTGTGGAGTGACATCCTTTTATTCTCTCTCTTGCTAAAAGCTCTCCCTTTCAAATTAATCACAGCCCACCCTGTCTGGGCCTCACCATGATAGTACGTCCACGTCCCATCTAT